CCGTACGCGGGCCTCTCACTGTTGTGGCCTCTCCCATTGCGGAGCACAGGCTCTGGACGCACAGGCTCAGCAGCCATGGCTCACGGGCCCCAGCTGCTCCGCGGCATGTGGGATCTTCCCGGACCGGGGCACGAACCCATGTCCCCTGCATCAGCAGGCGGACTCTCAACCACTGCGCCATCAGGGAAGCCCTATTCTCATATTTTTAACTCATACTCTGTGCATTATCCAATCTCTGATATGAGGTCAGAAGCAATATTCCTGATGTAGGAAGGCCTGCTGATTCTTCCTGAGAATTCTGGCATACCTGCTCCACATGCTTTTTCTTTTCATGTTATACTGCTCATCCTCCACTGTACTGGCTTCATTTTTATCAGGACCTTTTCCTCCCTCTTCTCTCAACTTTCACTCTTGGCCACCCAGTGGAGCCTCAAACACCCCATCCGGGAACCCGGGTCTGGTGTAATAAGCAGGGTCAGGAAAACCACACCCTGTCCCAAGTTGGATTCTGCAGAGCCAGCTGTCCACTCCATTCCTCCTACGTTCCTCTTTATTCCAAAATTACAACCCTCAGCTGGCAGAAAGTATGATGCCACCATTTGTTCCTCCTAAATCCCTCAGTTTACTGGAGACTCTAAAGACCCCAGACAACTATTTTTAGTTTTTTTGACTGTGTCATTCATTCCACTTAGATCAACAAAAATAAGTGGGCTTGTGAGTCATAGCAAGCTCCCCACCTTGTTTGAGGCAACTAATCCAGGGAGACAGGACCCTTCCTATTAGCGAGTCATGTCTCTGGAATAGGGTGTTAAGGAAATAGGCTCCAAAGCCAGACTGCCTGGGCTCACATTCCAGTTACATTATCATTATCTGAGTGACTTTGGGCAAGTCATTTATGCTGTCTGAGTCTTAGTTTTCTCATCTAAAAACCATTACTCTTATCTCCCTCACAGAGTTATTATAATGATTAAATGAGATGCTATACACAGAAAACTTAGTGCAGTGCCTGACAACAGTAATGACCACTCAATGCTAGCAATAGTGATGGTGGTGGTTTTGGTGGTGACGGTGGTGGTGCTACTGCTGCTGATTCTTGTCAGTGAGGTCTGTGCAGTGCCTGGCAATAGTCACAGTCAATCAGTGTTAGCAGTGGTGATGGTGGTGTTGGTGATGGTGGTGTTGGTGGTAGTGGTGCTTGTCATGATGGTGGTGGCGACTGTGAAGATGGTGGTGGTGGTGGTACTTATGGTGGCGATGCTACTTCTGCTCCTGATTCTTCTTGCTGAGATCTGTGAGGAAACATTTCTTCTGCCTGTGATAAGTAATACAATTCTTTTCTCTTGACAGTTCCTAAGTATTCTTCTTGATCTCTTTTGAGTAGATACTGCTCCTGCTTTTCCAGAATGTCTTTACATTCCAGGGATGAAACTTCACACTCCTGTAGCTCAAGAATACAGCAAGTTTTCCTGCTCTCATTTTCCTTCTCCATGATATGTTCTTCCCCTTAGCACTCTCTTGAATCTTGTTTTAGTGCCCTCCATCCTTGGGGAACTAAGCAGACCTTCCAACTTCCCCTCAAGTCAGGAGGCTGCCTTGCGTTTACAGCATGGATAATGACCACCTTTGGGAAGAAAACATTTCTATGAAACGTATGCCCTGTACATCCACACATTGATGTCTAGACTTCATGAGTAACAAGATGAACCACGATCCTAGGCATCCCCCCGGAGACTGCCCACGTGCTCACTTGCTCTTCTGTACTCACTCTTCCTCACCTTCTGCACCTCCTGATCTGCAGAATTATGGTGGACACAGCCTCTTCGTGTGGACATGCTCCCATGCAGGACTCCCGCACTTAGCTGAGGAAATCTCCCACCTGTCTGAGATTCCCCAAGGCACACAGTACACGCAACACAGGCTGAGTGAAGTAACAGCAGATTCAGGAATCTTATTCTCAGTTCTCCTCTGGGATGTTTCCTAGACTAAACCTCCAAGCCAACAAAATCCCTCACTTTATATTTAGAGAGCATTTTACACACTATGGCGTAGGTTGGTTTGATTCCCGAATACCGATGCACTTGCTTTCCACAAAGTTGGGTAAACTGAGCCACAGGGAGGCTACATGATGGCTGTGCATTCACACAGAAGGATGGCAGCCTCCTGACTCCAGCCGGCTTCCCCCTATGAACTCACACGTGGTCTCACTGGTGTCTGGGCGCCTTGGCAGCATCAGCCATGGCGCTGTGGTCCTGCATCCCAGCCTTGCTGTCATTCTGGATGATGCTTTCAAGGAGTTAAGAAGGATAACAGTGTGTGCACTCAGCCACCTCAAGATGGAAACCTGATCAGAGCGGCAAATTTTTCTTGAGCCCCACCTAAGATACTGACGGAAAGTCTGGGAGCAGATCTGATTCAACTGAAAAGAAAGGAAGGGCAAGGGAGGGAGACTCCCCACTGGCTCCCAGGCTAATGGAGCCCCCGGGACCTCAGCCCTGCTGACTTGGGGTATTCTGTGCTCACTCTCCTCAGCCGGACACAGCCTCAGCATGCTGACTCTGCTGGTGCTGTGGCCAACAGCCCCCATACCACACAGTGATGCCGCACAAGACGCTAATGGGCTTTCACTGATTCTGACGACAAGGCCAGTGAGAGTGTCACGTAACATGAAAGAATGCTGGAGCTTAGCTTGGCTTACCGAGACCCAGGGGGCTGTGTCCGTGTGTGTGTGAGCACACGCAGTCAGTGGCCTGACAAGGGCATCTTGGAACAGTGATCTGGATATCTTACGGCTAGACACGTTTGAATGGAATGGACATTCCACAAATCAGAATGACTGTTCCGAGGCACTATTGATCCTCAGTTCCCCCCAACTCGCAATCTATGTTTTGGTGACGGAACGTGACCTTTACGATGGCCTGCCAAGTGTCCCCCTCATCCCTAGACAGTAGTTCTCAGTCTTAGGAGCAGCGAATGAATCACCCAAGAAGCTTATCAAGATTGTAGATTTCTAGGTCCCATTCCTAGAAGTCCAGAGTGGGCCCAGAAATCTGTATTTTTATCAGTCCTGCAGTGAAGCTGATGTCATGGTCCACGGAACACACCCTAAGGGGCACTAGCACAGCCCCTGTGGCCTTCTCTCATATTCCCTCTTTTGTTACGATATGTCTGCATATTCTTCTTTAGTGGAGTTTGTAAAAATTGACAGCCACTGGTGGAAAACACTTGGTCAGCTCTGTCGGGATGCCCTTGGGAGCGTGGACCAGAGGGGAGATAAGGAGCCCTGCTCATCCCAGGAGAACCACCCAAGTGGCCAATACGTGGCACAGGCCATCCCTGTTCACAGTTGGGCAGCCTGTTTTCCCTGAATTTGTGCTTTGGGAAGTTTGTGAGTCTGGGCTGTGTGCCAACTGGGTCATGCTTCAGGAGTCCTCCAGGGTGGGAACCTCCCCCATTTCCCTCCAGGCTGTGGAAGCAGTTAGCAAAGCTGGGACAGGAGAGCCCTGGGAGATGGCACTCGTGGACGGCGACGCGCCCCGTGGGGAGGACTCACGGCTTGGTCCACGGATCTTGATGGGCTTACTGCTCGTCATGGACTGGGAGCATGTCTGACACAAACATTCCTTCCCGCTGAAGGTCACCTTGTCTCCAATGGGGAAAGGCTTCCTGCAAGAGGGATGAAGGAGAAATTCAACACCATCTCTCCAGAGGGTTCTGTGTCTATAGGTGACTTGACAACACATGTGCTTGAAGACCTTTGGTAGCACACACTGCACACATAGAGCACTAGGTACATTCAAGTGCTGTTCACAGGGCCAGGTTAAACCACTCAGTCAGGGCCAGGACCGGAACTGGAGACCCAGTTGGGCCATTTACATGATTTTTAAACACTGGGCAAATCATGACACTTATTTGGGCTTACATTTCGCTTCTATAATGAAGAGGCTAAAAATGTCTCAGAGGTACCTCCTCTTCCTGGAAGGACTCTTCTATCCCAACTTGACCTGTATCCCCTGTACCTCAGGAAGAACTCATTCAACTCCCCAGCTTGCCAACATTTCCTTCTCTCACTCCACAGGAAGTTTAGACATCCTCAAAGAACCTCTTCCTCTGCTCGCCTGCATTTGCGCAGCTTGAGTTCCACAGCTCAGGGGCTCAAGATCGTCATGTCCTGCCTCCCTAACTAAATATAAAGCACGTAGAACCCTCAGCACAGCTGATCCCATCACACAGCAGCTCTCGCTCATGCGGTTTGGGATGCCTGTTAATATGGACTCTGAGTTTATGCCCCCGTAAGCCTGCAGTGGCTCCGCTGCCCTTACGTTAGCAACATGAACAATGGAGGGAGTGCCAGGGAGGGAGGGGAGCCGTGTTCTCATCACAGCCCAGGCACTGACTCATGGTAAAGGGACCCGGCATGACCTTGGGAAGGCACCTATTCTCCATGGGGCTTCACAAAACCTCCACTTTAGACCATACGGACCCTACTGTGCAAACTTCCAATGGTTCTGGGATTCCAGGTCTGAAGGGTTGGATGAATGAATGAATTCCACTGGGTGATAATATTTTCTTATGCACTGTGTCGTTAGTTACTCTAACTGGTAACAAAGAGGTGGTTATTTTACGAGGAGAATAATTAATCCATAAATGATTTTCCCAATTAAAAAATGCATACATATACTCCAATCGTGCTTTACTTATGACTTAATCAGAGAAGTCCATTAAATTTTAACATATCTGTGGGCAGGGTTGAGGTTTTCTTTATTTTTTTCATCTCCTTAATATGGTGCTTAGCATACACTGGGCCCTTAATGTACATTTGCTAAGTTAACAAGTGACGGGGATGCTGAGGGTGGGGAGAAGGGAAGGGTTGAGCTTTCCATCACCTATCAGAAGTCTTGAGAGGCTAGATAATGATTATGATAATGAAGAGAATAAAAGTGGACACAATTTGGTACCAGTCATTGAGATAAGGTCTCTCTGCATGTACCATCTCATTTATCTTCACGGAAACCCAATGAAGTTGGACTGGCTTTGATGTCGATTCACCAATGAAGCTGAGGCTTACAGAGGTGGGGTCACCTGCCAGGGTCATGGAGGAAGGCTATAAACACATATTCCAGTACCACATGTGGCTGAGGGTGTGAGAGCCTGAGCCAGATTCATGGATTCCAAACTGAGTTTTGAGAGGTCAGGGCCCTCAGTGGCTCCTTCAGGGCCTTTTGATGGGGAGGCTGAGTGTTGGGGCTCAGATCCTTACACTGCCTTCATATCGGGACAAACTAGTGTTTTATACTAGATCACGTTTGACAAACAGGATTCAGCCGCTAAATGTTTGAAAACCACTGGCCTGTCAGGTCCTTCCACCCCTGAGATTAGAGGATGCAAGTGTCCAGCATAAAGCCGAGTAAGCCCCGGATCTGCCTGGGAAAGGCCATTTCTTCCCTTCTGCAGGATCCCAGGCAGAGGGTCCCTGCCCCCGCTGGCCTCCTGCTCACCTGCACAAGCTGCACACGAAGCACTTGGGGTGGTAGGTGCGGCCCAGCGCAGAGATGACCTCACCCGTGATAAAGTCCCGGCAGCTGTCACAGCGGGTGCCGTAGAGTTGCTGGTAGTCCTGGGTGCAGATGTACTCCTGGTTCTTGAAGAAGAAGCCTGACTGAGCCAGGCCACAGCCACACACTTGGGGAAACAAGGTGGGAAACAAAGGCAGGTGAGTCCAGGGAGGGTCTGCAAGCATGAGGTTCTCGCTGGGGACAAGGCTGCTGTCTGACTCAGTCGTAAGTGGCCAGAGAATGGTGATGCATGGGACCTCATGGGCCTTTGGGGCCAGTGCTCCTTAAAGGATGGCCCGAAGACCACTTGCATCAGAATCACCTGGCAGGCTTCTTGAGATGCAGCTGCCTGGACCTGAATCAACTCGGGTTGGAGCCCAGGCATCTGCATTTTAGCACACTCCCCAGCTGATCCTGATGCATGCTGAGACCATACAATCCTCTCAAAACATGGAGTAAAAGTTTAAAGCCATGTAGCTCACGCAATGCAATGCAGCTGGTGGTATCATGAGTTTGATGAAAGAATCATTCAGTTAAAAATGCCCTGGGCATTTCCTACGTGCATAAGTCTGTGCTAGGTGAAGACAAGTTAGGATGGCAATGGGATGTATGATTTGAAGATTATAATCCAGCTTCACCATAGCCATAAAAGGTAAATCTGTTCCCAGGCAGGAATGATAAAACACAATCCTTGAAATCCAAAGAGCTAACAATGGCTGCAGAGGGAAGACCACATAGAGCATACATCAGTGGGGACAGGCCGTGGGCTGGTGTAGGTAGCAAGTGCTGTGAGTGGGAGGAATCAATGAAGGTTTTCTGGAGGAGGTAGCATCTAAGTTGAAGTGAAGGAATGGAATGAGCTAAAGCACAAAGGCAGGAAACTGTAGGCGATATTTGTGTGGAGATAGGGCTAGGGTAAGGGTGGTGTTTTTAGAGAGTGGAAGGCAATATTACAGGAAAATATTGCCAGGCCAGTTGGAGGAAGAGGGGCCAAGTCCAGTTTAAGACGTTTAGGCTTTGTGGGAAACTAGGAAGCCATGGATGGTTTTTCCTCTAGTTTTTAAAATCTTAAATTACTTTGAAAAATCTTGGACATATACAACAGTAGAGAGATTATAATGATTCCCCATTACCCAGCTGCAGAAATGATCAATTGCACTGATGACTTCTGAACAGAGAGGCAACATGATTTCATAAGGTACTTTATAAAGTCTTTTGGGATATCCTTGTGGACAATAGGAAGTAATATAGGGCAGATAATAGAAGAGCAGGTGGATATAATTATAGGTGTCTGAACAACTGAATCATGTGGGGCTCCCCTCCCCCAAAGGACTTAGAAACGTGGGAAATGAGCTTTCCCTCTGAGAGTTAAGTTTTGAAATGAACACATAGTGGGAAGAGCAGGAAGAGGCTAAGTTTCTTCCAGGAGATTGAATGACTCTCAGGGCCACCAGAACTGCTGAATTTATTGATCCAGCTAAAGCAAGGATGGGTCAGCCAGGAAGGGGCTGGTCAGCAATCAAAGGAAGGCCACTTGAGAGCGCATTCAAATCCCGAGACCAGCTCCCCTTGTTCTGAGTCTGACTGTTTGACTTTCTACATAGGTTGCCTTTGTGAGACAAGCAGCTGATCAGGGCAACATGAACTAGTAGTACAACGGAGAGTTACAGCTCTTGTTTATGTTAATAAACAGGCACTCGGGTTTTATACGTCGGTTTCCCAAAGATGTGGTTAGCATGACTCAACTTTACCAAGCGTGATCCACGGTGCGGAAACCAACAAGATGTTTTCCAAGCCTGTAAGTGCGAGGACCTGGCCTGAACTGGGTGACATCACCCCAGTAAATACTCTCTTATCTTTAATAGGGAACATTGTTTTGCAAAAGCAGCCAGGTTAAAAGTAGGAGGGACTTCTAGGTGAATGTCAGAAGTATTTTGCAAGTGTTTGTTCACTCTGCAGGCCAGAGGTAGGCTCCAAGGGTCAAGGTGAGGGAGGGCAGCTCTAAATGTCACAGCACCAGGGGAAACCGTCTAGGACCATGAAAGACTCTGCTCTGGGAGTCAGACCACCTGGGCTATCTAACTCTCTGGGTGACACTGAACTTGGTCCTCTGTTGTCTGGGGCCTCTGTTCACTTCTATGTAAAGAGCAGAAACTGGACAAGAAATGACCTGAGCTTTTCTTCTGACACTGACACCCTGTGAGTCTAGGAGAAGGGAGGGCTGACTATATGCCTAAACATTTTAAATTCCACGTGACGTAGAGCTGGCAGCTGCTGGAGACCACCCCTGCAGAGAGGCAGGGCTTATGAGTAGGAGTGGTGCTAGTGGTGGTGGTTGGTGGGGAAGGGTCCAACTTTCATCAGGCTTCATGAAATCTCATCACATCGAACAATGCCTGGTCTGGAAGGCAGGCAAGGCCAGAGAACAGGCTGTTCTGGGGCGTGCAGGTGGCAGATCAATTGACTTCATGGCTGTGGAATTAGTCAGGCATGGCCTACAACCTCATTGGAAACAGCTCCTGTTTTTTCCCTTCTTTTCTCTCCTTTGTGTCCCCTGCCAACTCCACTTCCAGAGCCACCTCTCCCAGTGGAGAAAACCAGGAGGCCATACGAAAACTTGGAACAATCAGTTCCTTCATTTCCCCCAAGGAGCTGAAGGAGGAAGGTAGAAAGGATGTAAAGGTTGATAAGAATCCCAGGGGTTCCTGGAAATACAGTGGGGAACACGGGGTGGAAGGAAAGCTGGACCAGCACGACAGATGTATTTGAGGCTGAGCAGAGCTCTGCATTCAAATAACAGGAAAGGCCATGGAGAGAGTCTGTAGTATGGAAGTGATGTGGAATTAATGCATCCAGGGCAGTCATTATTCTGTGAATCAGAAAAGTATAGTCTATTAATTAAAAGAAAGATCATATAGTCTGACAATGGGACAGAATATGGGAACTCAAAACTGCTTTCAGAAAACACAGAATGCTCACTGTAAACATAAGGCCTAGAGTAGGACGTGCACACAGCCCTACTGTGTTTCAGTGGAAAATGTACTGTTTTGAGGGTCACTGGACCTTCCTCCATATTCCCATTCTAGCACTCAGGTGCTGCGTGACTTTGAAAAAGTGACCTCACCCCCCTGGAGCTCAGTTGCCTCATTTGTAAAATGAGGGGGCTATGTGGTAACTGAGGACACATCCAGATCTGAGAGTCTAGGATTCTGTCATATAATTCTGTTGATTTTCAACTTTTCAAATGAGACAGTTTTATGGAATTTCAAAATCAAAGTGTTAGAAGGGCCCCTGAGGGTGATCTCATTATTTTAAACATTTAAATTGTGAAATATATTATACATACAGAAGATGTAGTAAATATATATGTAGAGTGTAAAGAAGAATAAAACATGCTCCCAGCTACTCACTACCGAGTTTATGAAACAGAACATCACCAGCAGCTCGGAAGCCTGTTCCCATCTCCCTAGAGCGCCGTGCTTCCCACACCACGTCCGAAATTGTGTTTATCATTCTCTTGCTTTTCTTTACAGTTTTACTACCTTTGAGGTATCTACAAACAATATATTGTTTAGTTTTGCCTGTTTCTGAACTTTATATGGATGGAATCATACTGCATCTACTCTTCTGTGTAATTTACTGCTTCATTCTCTCAGTATTATGTTTTTGAGATTCATCCATGTTGATGCATGTAGTTGTGGGTGATTCATTTTCACTGCTGTGCTGTATTTCGTTGTCTGACTATATCACAATTGATCTATTCCACTGCTGAAGGACATCCAAGCTGCTTGTGGTTTTTTTTTTTTCCTTTATGGAAATGCTGCCTTGAACATTCTTGTATTTGTGAGGTGATGTCTCACTGTTTTCCAATAAGTTTTTCCCATTTACATTCCCACCAGCAGTTCTCACTGAGCTATATTATCACAGATATCAGGTAACACCTAACTTCTTATATTTAGTTAACATGGTACAGGTGAAAGGATGTTCTATTGTGATTTTAAATTTAATTTCCCTGATTATTAATGAAATTGAGAATGTTATTACCTGCTTATGGGCCATTTGTGTTTTCAAGGTTTATCCACATGGAGCATGTATCAGTATCTTTTCTACCACTGAATAATATTCCACTGTATGGATATACCACACTGTACTTATCCATTCACTGGCTGATGGATATTTGAATTGTTTCAAACTTTTGACTTTATGAATAATATTGCTATGAACATTTGTGTACAAGTTTTTGTGTGAACATACGTTACTTGAGTGTAAGTCTAGCAGTGGAATTTGGAATTGTTGGGGTTATATGGTAACTTTACGTTTACCCCTAGAGGAACTGCAAGATTGTTTTCCTACACATTTTACATTCCCGCCAGCAAGGTATGAGGGTTCCAATTCTTCCACATTCTTGCCAACACTTGTATTATATGTCTTTTTTGATTATAGCCAACTGAGTGGGTGTGAAGTTTATCTCATTGTGGTTTTATTTGCATTTCATTGATGGCTAATGATGTTGAGCATTTCTTCATGTGCTTATTGGACATTTATATAACTTCTTCAGAGAAATGTCTATTCATATCCTTTGCCCATTTTGAAATTGGGTTATTTGTCTTTTTTATTATTAAGTTGTAAGTATTCTTTATATAGTCTAGATACAAGCCCTTTACCAGATATGTGATTTGCAAATTTTATCTCCCATTCTGTGTGTTGCCTTTCACATTCTTCATGGTATGTTTTGAAGCAAAAAAGTTTTTAATTTTGATGATGTTCAATTTATCTATTTTTCCTTAGTTGTTTGTGCTTTGGGTGTCATGTCCAAGAAGGCTTTGCCTAACTTAAGCTCACAAAGATTTACTCCTATATTTTCTCTTAAAAGTTTTATAGTTTTAGCTCTTATGTTTAGGTTTTTGACTTATTTTGAGTTAATTTTTTTGTACAGTGTGAGAAAGAATGCAACTTTTTTTTTCACGTATATATGTTCAGTTTTCCTAGCATCATTTGTTGAAGACTGTTCTTTCCCCCATTGAATGGCCTTGGCATCCTTTTTGAAAATCATTTGACCATATATGTGAGGATTTGTTTCTAGGCTCTCTAACTTTCCCTATTGAATTATTTTGGCTGGCTCAATGA